TCAGCAACTTAGTGACAATCCCCAGTACCAAAACTAAATCAAATAAAAAGGACAATGAATCCCTGGCATTATGTATAATTAAAATGCACCAAAAACAAACACAGGAAAAAACTGAAAACCAATAAAATAAATAAAAGGGGCTGTGGATGTAGCTCAGAGGTAGAGAGCCCATTTTGTCCAGCTCTAAATTATGGGGAGGAATTAGGCACATGAAAAGGAGAGGCTTGCTGTGCAGAGGACAGCGAAAGTGTCATAACCCTGACACCTTCAGATGACCCCTTCAGGGGCTGAAACCCCATTTTCTCATAGTAAATGATGCTTCATAAGATAAGTCATGAGTTTTTTTTTTTTTWAAGAAAGAGTGAGAGAGGAGAGAGAGAGAGAATTTTTTTAATATTTATTTTTTAGTTCTCRGTGGACACAACATCTTTATTGGTATGTGGTGCTGAGGATCGAACCCGGGCCGCACGCATGCCAGGCGAGCGCGCTACCACTTGAGCCACATCCCCAGCCCTGTCATGAGTTTTTTTGAGGGAGGGGGGTGCTGAATTAGGGAATGGAACCCAGCACCTAGCACAAGCTGGGCAAGCAGTGTGCCACTGAGCTATGGCAAATATTAAGGTTCTTCTAAAAGCAGAGCATAGTGCTAGGCCCTGGGAAATACAAATCATAGTACTAGTACTCACAAGGAATGTTCTGGAACTCTCAAGTTCTTTCTAATATTCAGCATTAGCAGGAATTACCAATGCCTGATGTTATAGGGGGAGTGGGAGGTGTGATTACAACCTGCCCTGGCTGGTGGACAACAGTAGCRCAGAAGAGGCCCAAGAATCTTCCCTGGGCAGAGATGGTAGCGGGGACCATACTTAGTCCTGTGACAGTAGGAAGCCAGTGGGTGGTTTTAAACAGATAAGTTTTAAGCATTTTTCTATAATCAAAATAAAGTTTTTATTTAATGACATATCATGAATTTGTTCATTGTTTTGATATGAAATGTTTGTATTTTTATTTTATAAGCATTCTGTAGTTACAAACTTGATTTCTCATTGATTCATGGTTTAGGAGAGAAAAGTTTAATTTCTAAGAGCCAGAGTTTTTAAAATTGTTTTGTTACTGTCTTTCATACTGTGGCTATTAATTATTGATTTTCTGTACTATTTGCACTGGGATCAGTCAATATTACCTATAGTTTGTGATTTTTTTCAAAACTTGAGGCTTCTTCATCTCATATTATCAATTCCCATAGTTGTTCTGTTTGAATGATATAAAGTCTAGTAAATGAGCTCTTAGATTCTCCCTTTTATAACAGTCTGCTATAATTTCGTTTGTTTTGCAAATATGTCATGCTAAAATCATTACAACAGATGCTTCAGCAATTTCTTTTTAACTCTTTTCAGCTTTATATATATTTAATGCTATTTTTTCACTACTTAAAAGTTTCTAAGTTTCTTTCAGTAAATGCCTGCCTTTATTATTGAATACCATTTGAAAAATTAAATTTGCTTTCCAGTTCTGGGGCTTTCCAGTTTCTGAACCCAGGAGTGCTCTACCAGCATATATACTATATCCTCATTCCTTTTATTATTATTATTATTATTATTATTATTTTGAGAAAGGGTCTCACATGTTTTTGTCTAGAATTCAACTTTGCTAGATAGTGATGACTCCACATTTTTGTCCCTCCTTTACAAACTGCTTATTGTAAAAGTATTCAGATATACACAAAAGTAGAACAGTAAATGAATCTTCCCATCCCCATCACCCGGACTCATCCGTTATCAAGATTATCTTGCACTTATTCCCTTTTCTCTCTCTTTTCTGTTCTTTTTCTAGAGTATTTTAAAGCAAACTCCAGACATCATTTCAGTTCATCCCCACATATGCCAACATGGGTGTTCCCTTGGAAAACCACAGTGTGAGCATGTGTTTATTTTTGCAGTGCTGGAGATGGAACCCAGGGCCTTTTGCGTGCCTGGCAAACATTCTACTCCTCCACCACCACAATGCCGTTATTGTACTCACAAAAATAATTGTGATTCCTTGGTATGCTTTAATACCCAGGCCGTATTCAAATGGCTCCCATTGTCTCAAAGATGCCTTCTCACAGTTAATTGGTACAAATGAGGGTCCAAGTGAGGCTGACAGCATTTTGACATTAGTCTTCTCAATTCTTTTAACCTAATGCTGCCTTCCCTTCCAGACACCACCGACTTATGGAAAACAAAAGGGTTCCTACAGAATGCCTCCCATTTTAGATTTACTTTTTTGTTGTTGTTGTTGTTCCAGGGGTGCTTAACCACTGAGCCAAATCCCCAGCCCCCCCCCCTTTTTTTCTGTGTTTTATTGAGAGACAGGGTTTCACTGAGTTGTTTAGGGCCTCGATAAGTTGCTGAGGCTGACTTTGAACTCACCATCCTCCTGCCTCAGCCTCCTGAGCCACTGGGATTGCAGGCGTGCACCACTATGCCCAGCTGTCTTCATATCTCCATGGTGTTATTTATCTGTTTCACTCTCAGCTATTTCTAAACTGGAAGTTAGTTTTAAAGACTTCAATAAATTCAAATGCAATTTTTGGCAAAWTTTTTTTCAAAGGATGCTGTGTATTTAACAGCTTGTGGGAAAGACACACAATGCCTGTTCATCTTTTTGGTCTTAGGAGGTGACAACCTGATCTGTCATTGCCAAGTTACCAATCAACCTTTCACATAGTGGTTTCATCCACTGATAGAATCTGCCTGAATAACCTATTACATTAGTGATTTCAAAATAATCTTTTTCCAATATAATCTTTTTCCACATTTATTGGCTAGAATACTTTGTAAAGAGCTTTTCTTCATCACTTTGAGCTATTTGTATACCCTGAAATACAGTTGCTTGAGGAAGGATAAAGGCTTAATTTTTTTTTTCCCTTCAATGCCAGTTTGTTTTTGGATATTGGGGATTGAACTCATGAGTACTCAACCACTGAGCCACATCCCYAGCCCTATTTTGTATTTTACTTAGAAACAGGGTCTCACTGAGTTGCTTAGGGCCTGCTAAGTTGCTGAGACTGGCTTTGAACTTTCAACTCTCCTATCTCACCCTCCCAAATCGTTGGGATAACAGGCGTGCACCATTATGCCCAGCTTCAACGCCAGTTTTAAGAGTAGTGAATCAGTTTCCCCAATAACTACTCAACCTACCCAAAGATGGACAGTTTGTACTTGCATTTTGGGTTGCTCTAACTCAAATTTTGCTTCCCATGGGGGTGGGGTGTCTTTGATGACTTTTTTTAAAAAATATTTTTTAGTTGTAGATGGACACAATATCTTTGTTTTTATTTTTATGTGGTGCTGGGGATTGAACCCAGTGCCTCACTCATGCTAGGCAAGTGTTCTACCACTGAGCCACAACCTCAGCCCTGTCTTTGATGATTTTTCGTTGTCATAATTATGCATTTTTAACTATATAATTTTGCTATATATATAGTATATATGTGTGTGTGTATCTGTCTTTCTATCTATATAAACTTCCTCCCCTAGTGATTTGCAAAGCAAATCCTATTCTGCTAGTGACTTATTTTTCAAATGTAAGATTAGGGGCTGGSAATATTGCTCAGTGGCAGAGCATGAGTATACCATATATGGGGTCTTAGGTTTGATCCCCAGCAACAAAAACATAAAAAATTAGGGGCTCGGGATATAGTGCAGTTGGTAGAGTGCTTGCCTTGCATGCACAAGACCGTGGATCAATCCCCAGTACCCCCCAAAAAAATATTAATGCTTATGCAATGCAAAACTGTCAGCCTAAGAGGGCATAAGAGAAAAARTGAAAGTGACTCCTACCCACCCAGATGCCTTTGAGGGCCTGAACACTGTTGTTCACTGTTACAGGAAATCCTCCAAAGGGCTCCCTCAAAGCAGCTTATCTCCCTTCATGTTACAATACTCAACAGCACTCAACGTGGGTGTTTTCTCTAATTACCAAGTTTTTAACTATGCCCTAAATTTTTTCTTTCTTCAACTTCTCCATATTTTCACTTGGCTGTTGTCTGAATCCCTAAATCTTCAGCTGGATGCCTGGGTGCCAGCTGAGCGATTCAAAGGCCTGGGGGCAGGGGTGTGACTATGACACAAGCAACTCTAGGTGGACTAGACTCTGCCCAAATACCCCTACAAATCAGGAGAGTGGCACCAGACTCCTCTGCTCACATACACTGGACATTAACTTCCTAAGAGCTGTCAGCTGTTGGTGCTCTTCTCTAATGAAGTCCATCTGCAGCATCTGCAAGAATGTCACAAGGTTTCTGATACGTGTATCCTACCTTTCCATATGCACACTTTTCCTACAGGATTTATTTAAACATTTCCCAGGTTCTGTCATTTAATTCTGATGTTTGTAAATAAGAAAACTAAAGTCCCAGGACAGTAAACAATAAGTCTACAATCAGCAATTAAGTGGCAGGCATAACAGGTCCTTTGACAACAAGGGCAACTCTTTCCATTACCTCATCTATTTTGCAACAGGGTCTCACCATGTTGGCTTCTACCTGTGTTCAAGAGTCCTCCTGCCTCAGCCTCATAGGATTTTTTTTCCCCCCTGAGGATCTCTATCAGTTAATACAATTTTCAAAGTTAACTTCAAATACCAAAAATTGCAAGTTAACGTTGTAACAAAGTTTACTTTTCTACCACTTCTGTGCCTAAAAGTTGCCACAGAAGTCAGTCCCTGCAGTTACACCTGCAATTTGGACCTGCTGTTGATTTACTGAGGACAAGCCAAAGGTGGCACTTCTTGTGGTTTGAAAGCAAAGATGAAGTTCCAGAGCCTCAATGGACAATTCCTCCCTATCATATCCCAGGGAAACACACTTTGTTAAAATTTTAGCAGCCCTAAGGCCTCAGTAATTGACTTCTACACAGTTTGAATTTAGATGACTGGCCTGACACATTTGGGCTCACCTTTCCACACCCAAGAGGGAGGTTTAAATATCTCAAACACAGAGAAGATGACACACTCAGAACTATATAATTAATATTTTTAATGTGCAGAGTTTGTAATACAAGGGCAGAGATTCCTCCTGGATTCAAGTTTTATAAATTCTCAATGGGCTGGTGAGGCCAATAGGGATACTTCTTCTTGTCTAATTTGGTTTCTGGGAAGACTTCGTTTAAGTCCTCAATGGTCATCTGATCAAATGGAATAATGTTCTTTATTTTCTCCAGCTGGAAAGAGCAGAAATGTGTTAGGGGAAATAGGGCTACAAAATGCAAAACAAGAATTTAAGAAAGATATAAAATATACCAAAGGCAAAGCCTGTGGTTCATCCTTACCTGTTTCTCATATTCTTCAATCCTGGCCTTTGAGAGAGAGACAAACTCAGCACAACTTTTTACCTTTAAAAGAACCAACAGATTCTATTGTGAAACCAGGTTGTAACCTGACCCTGAAGCTCCCAAGGTATGGGAAGTCCCCAGGCTGCTCTTGCTCTCCTGCCCTGTGGAGATGTAGCTGCCTGCCTACTGAGAGCTAAACCACAGCTTTTGCTAACACCCACAAAGCAGCCCAGGTACAAAAACAGGTTAGTATGGCCTGTTTCATAAGGGCTGGGCACTGAACAGCCAGGACAAGACACCTGACCACCAAGCCAGACTTCTCTTTGGGGGAGTCATCACGTCTCAATGTTTCAGTTATGTATCTGAACACCTGTATAATTTTTCTACCTAATTTCAATACCTTGCCTTTGACAGCTCTGTTGAGGTATAAATGACATATAATAAGGTGCACATATTTAAAGAGCACCATTTGATGTAGGTATCTACCTGTGAAATCATCACCATGCTCGAAACAGTGAGCATATGTATTACCCTCTCCCTCCCATCCCTAGGCAATCATTGATGTACCTTCTGTCACTATAGATTAGTAGAGATTTACACAAATAGAATCATATGGTATTTGCATTTTTTTCTTGCTGCTTTTTTAACTGAGCATAGTAATTATTATTATTTGACATTAGGAACTGAACTTAGTTAGGGGCACTCTACCACTACGCTTCATTGCCAGTCCTTTTTGTATTTTGAGACAGGGCCTCAGTAAGTTGCTGAGGCTGCCCTTGAACTTGTAGCCCTCCTGTCCTAGCCTCCCCAGTCACTGGGATTACAGGCACGTGCCACCACCCTTGCCTTTCGGCATAATTATTTTGATATTAATCCATGTTGTAGTATTTATTAACAGTTCATTCCTTTTTATTTTTTTATTACTGTTAACACTTTTTTTTTTTTTTTTTTTGGAATCAAAGATTGAACTCAGGGGCACTCGACCACTGAGCCACATCCCCAGACCTATTTTCTGTATTTTATTTAGAGACAGGGTCTGAGTTGTTTAGTGCCTTGCTTTTGGTGAGGCTGGCTTTGAACTCATGATCCTCCTGTCTCAGCCTCCAGAGCCACTGGGATTACAGGTGTGCACCACCATGCCCAGCAACACCTTAATTTTCAATTTAATTTGTTCTACCTTTTACTAGCTGCTAAGTAATATATAGCTGTCCTAGTAATCCAGCTCAAAATTTTTACATGTGTCCTATACAGGAGATGCTGGGGCACAATGGGTTAAGAAACTTAGAATAGGGCTGGGGTTGTGACTCAGTGGTAAAGCACTCGCCTAGCATGTGTGAGGCCCTGGGTTTGATCCTCAGCACTACATAAAAATGAATAAATAAAGGTATTGTGTCCAACTACTATATATATATATATATATATATAAATATATATATGAAAAAAAAAAGAAACTTAGAATAAAGAACATCGATTACTCACATCTTCCTTTTCTTCAGCATCCACCTGTGCAGTATATTTATCCTCTGGCAAAGGAACTTTCAGGGCATTAAACTATAAACAGGGACAGTGAGTTGGCAGCAATATACCCAGAAGCCCAAAGAAAGGGCTCAAAGTTATTCCTTAAAGATCATATTAAAGCATATTCTCCACCCCAAGAAGAAACCAATATGCATTTCAGATGTTGTAGTAGAGAGAATATTTTACAGGGAAGAGGAGCTCAAGGATCTTCTCAGCTCCATCACTGACTGACTGAAGACCTTGGATATTTCTTTATAACAATGAACTTCAGTTTCCTCATCTGGAAAGGACAGCTGTACTTAACAAGAAAAATAACCTCACATTCTGAAGAAGTCCTGAATTGTCTTTTGACACGAAACCCCAGAGATCTTATCAGCAAAAGTAATGATATATGATGGAGATAAAAATGGTCTTTAGAAGACTGCTTGATGTTATAGCCTAGCACTTAACACTACCCTCAAGTGGAGAAGCAAATGAACTTTGGATATTGAGATTTAATGTGTAAATATCACGAGAGGACAGATAAATAAGAAATTATAGCTCTAAGGGATAACAAAAAAGAGCAGAGAAAAAGGAGGGAAACAGTAAAAGGGCAGAAAAGATGTTGGTCTGTATCAAAAGGAGACAGCGGGAAACTAAAATGGAACTTAGGCAGAGTTAGAAAGAAACTCTAACAGTTGTCTGGCTCCAGGCAGCAAGGCCATAGAGTTCCTTTGACTGAACAGACCCTGAATTCTCAAATCCTACCACTGCAAGGGCTTTGGCCACATCCATCTTTACTAAAACTCCTTTGGGATCTGAGTGCTAACATCACCCTTCTTCCCCTACCGTCATATGGCATATCTACCTTATCTACCCTGTCATCTTCCGTATGTATATGTACCCTCCTACTCCCATTCACAAGCCACTTAACAAGATCAGTGCTTTAGTTATCTGAAGTCTCACCTTCTTTTCAAAGTCATCCACCAAGCCCGCCTTGGCAACATTTGCCTTGTAGTAAGCCCAGTCGATAGCTGGTGGTTTCTCAGGCAGAGTAGCCAACCTGCTCACATGCAAATGCAAAAGTCAGGTTTGTTCCATGAGAAACAGAATATTCACACAATAATTTCCCTATTCTTTACTCCTGTGGTATAGGGTGTCATCAACTTTTCTCTTTTGTCATCACAATGATGCCCCAAAATACTTTCATTTAGAAAATGTATGGATTTCTTTTGTTTGAAGAGTATCAAAAATTCATATGCAATCCCAAAACATTGTTTCTAGATTCAGTGGAAAGTAGGGAGTTCCCTCTCAGGAACATACTGACCTGGAGGAGAGGGTCTCATTCCAGGACTTCAAGGAGTTAGCAATAGCCTTCTGGTTTCGGGGAATGATCTCCCCAAAAGCTACCCAGTCAATGGTTTTTAGAGCAAGTTTGCGTCCAGCCATCTTGGGATCCTGGAAGATAAGTTAGATCAAAACAGTGATCCTGGAGTGAATCCTCTGAAGAAGGGCATTTTAGAAACAAGCAAGTTTTTAAAATAGATCAGCATCCTTTTAGTGCTTGGTGGGTTTATTTTATCAATTAGAGGAATGGGTTTTAATAAAATCAAGAAAGGGCGGTTTACTTTTTCAAATTAACCATACAACCCAGCATATAAATGTGTTCTCTTCCACTAGATTGTCCTTCTGTATTCCCCCAACTCTTATTCATCCTTAAAAGCCCAGCTCCCAGTCAGGAGTAGGGGTGCACACCTGTAATCCCAGTCACTCAGGAGGCTGAGGCAGGAGGACCACAAGTTCCAGATCAGCCTGGGCAACTTAGGAGACCCTGTCTCAGAATAAAATTAAAGACACTAAGGATGTAGCTCAGTGGTAGAACACTTACTTAGCCTGCACATAACCTGAGTTCAATCCCCACTGCCAACAAAAAAACAATCAAGATGCACATCATCTTGCAGTATGATCTTATGCCCTACCAGATTGGTCATAGACCTGCACCCTTCTGATTAATATCTAATTATCCACCACTGCACTCTTACATGCCCTGCATTTTAAGAGGCATTCCATACAGAGATGAATATGAGAGAAAATAAAAATTGGCTGCAGCTGTCTTACACCAAGGCCATACAGGAAAACTTAATTCATTTAAATTAAGATCAGGGTCAGAAATTAGAAGTCTGTAAAGTCAAAGTTCTCTACAAGCTATGGAGTGGATTCGAAAAAGGTGAAGAAAGCTTCCTCAGGATCTTAAAAAGAAAGTTGTTAAAACACCTGACTCTCCAGGCATGGTGGTGCATGCCTGTATTCACATTGGCTTGGGAGGCTGAGGGAGAAGGATCAGAAGTTCACAGCCTCAGCAATTTAAGGAGGCCCTAGGCAAATCAGAGAGACCCTGTCTCAAAATATAAAAAGGGTTGGGGAGATGGCTTGTAGCTAAGTACCACCGGGTCCAATACCTGGTACCAAAACAAACAAACAAACAACACCTCTCTTCCTTCCCCTCCCGTAAGCGTTAGGGTTAAGACTGTTAGGAAACTAAGATGCCAGACAATCAATGTTTTTTCAGAGGTTCTTCCAAGCACCTGAAGATAGTTAAATGAAAAGGGCTTTTCCCCTTTCGTTTATAGCTTATTCCCCAGCGCCTAGAACAGGTCACAAGTATAGGAAGTGCTCAATGTATACTCGTTCAACGGGTGAATGAACCCTGGAGCTTAGAAGTCCTGAGCGCGGCACAAACTGGAATCCTGGAACGCTCCAGATGCAGGGGAAGGCGCAGCCCCGCAGCCTGCTAAATGTCCCTCAGCATTAACTCTGTAGTGTGTGTCCCTGCCTCACAACCACAAGACCGAGATCGCCGCGCTGGGAGCAGAAGACTGTGCCAGACAGTTTGTGGCAGCGCCTACACTAGCGGCGGCCGGGTGACAGCTAGGGCCCGCGACCTCGCGCKCGGGGTGGAGTGAAGAAGTGAATGCGGGGCAAAGCGCAGCTACACCCCGGGCACTCTGCCAGCGGGACACCCCGAGAGCTCGGCGTCCTCGGCGGGGTGCAACAAGGAAAACGCGAGGTCGGGAAGACGCAAAGCAGAAGAACTCTGCGGGGTTCGCACTCAACGCCCCGAACCCCACTCACCTTCACCGACCCCAGGAGAACGTAGTCCTCAGCAGCAAGTAACGGAAGTGGGTCACCGGAAGACCTCCCCTCATCCAATCCCAAAGACAAAGGGGGCGGTCCTCACTTCACATGTCAGCCAATAGAGACGGAGCTGGTTTAGGAAGTCCCGCCTCCGGGGGCGGGCACGGCGCCTGCGCCGCCAGGGTCCCCCGCTAGTTAGGGGCACTCCCGTCCCTCTCCCCCTGCCCCACCCCCGCCGATGGGCCGGCCCAGCTCTCCCTGCCGAGAAATGGGCCGGTCCGGTGGCGCGCGGGCAGCGGCGGCGGCGGTGGCGGCCCAAGATGGCGGAGCTGCAGCTGGACCCGGCGATGGCAGGGCTGGGAGGGGGTGGCGGGAGCGGGGCGGGCGACGGCGGCGGCCCGGGCCGTGGGCCCCCCAGTCCTCGCCCGGCTGGCCCCACGCCCCGCGGACACGCCCGCCTGCCCGCTGCCGTCGCGCAGCCGCTGGACCCAGGTCCTGGACCGCCCGAGCGGGCTGGGGGCGGCGGCGCGGCCCGCTGGGTCCGGCTGAACGTGGGCGGCACCTACTTCGTGACCACCAGGCAGACTCTAGGCCGGGAGCCCAAGTCTTTCCTCTGCCGCCTCTGCTGCCAGGAGGACCCGGAGCTGGACTCGGACAAGGTGCGCCCCGCCCTCGGGCGCGCCCCCGGGCCTGTGGACTCCCTGGCTTCCAGTCGGTCTCCCGAGTCCTGCCCGGGCAGGCTCCTCACTGGCAGGGCGCTCAGACCGGGGCCCCTTCCCCCTTCCCGCCCCCTGGGCCACCTGAGGCCTCAGGAGGAAGCGCCTTTCCCGCATCCTCAGGCACACCCCGGTTCTCTGCGACCCCGCCCGTGGTTCTCAAAAGCGCTTCCCCACGCTGCCCACCCGCACCCGAGAGCCGGCTCCCTGTCCTCCCAGCCTCTCGAGTTTTTCCCTGGCTGCCTTTCCGCCCCTCACTGCTGATGCCAAATACGTCCAGAATTGGGTCAGGGCAAGCGAAGGGAGCTCTGTAGCTCTCTCACACTTCGTGCGGGACCCCCGTGCCAAGCCGGGTTAAAGCCTGGGTCTGACAGTGGCTTCCATCGCTCCAGGAAGTCCCTCTTGTTATATTACTCTGTTTTCCTAAAGTCCTGGTCCTAGAACTTGTACCTGGTTACTGTTGCTGTTTAGGTCCCTGAGATCCGGTGCAAATCTAGGTTGACTCGGTTAAGACAGTAAAAATGAAGACCCAGAAATACTGCTAGACAAGATGCATGGCTGCTAACCAAAGGGTTGAGAGGTTATGAGACACTTCCTTTTCCAGTTTGAACTGTTTGAATCAATGTTTTTAACTTTTACAGATTCGTCTTTAATTCCCAACTTAGAGCCACTGACAATAACTTACACCACTTTATATCCTACACAGCACTCAGCCAGTTAACTTGTAACAGAATTGGGATTGCGTAAACGTTCATTTGTTTCATTTTTCATTTCATTTCCTAATAAATCTCAGGTTGATGGAAACCCATCCTGCCCTAACTTTAAAAAAGATTCCAAAACTCTTGTTTATGTGGAATTATTTTTATATACCCTGAATCTTCCTTATGGCTGTATAAACCAGTTTCATCTTGTTCCTTTTACTGTAAAGATGAGTAGGATTAAAGCTGCTTGGAGCCAAGTCCTGGCAATACCACGCTTCCTCTGAGCACAGATCTCTGGGTGTGTGAGATTACAGCTGGCAATGCAGAGACTCCCACTGGTGTTGGCCTGGAGCTCAGGAGTGTGGCCAGCTGAGCAGAGGTTTTCTTAGAATCAGGAATGTGAATTGGGGGCAATGGAGAATAAGACTGTCCATCTCAAATAAAGATTTAAATCATGCAGCCGTAGCATTTTCTTCCTCCTTTTTAAATAATATGCCACTGAAGAATGTTGGTAATTGTCCAAGCAAAGATTGTAGAAGTTCAAACCAGTAAATAAACACCTAGATGATGGCTATGACTGTGCATCTCTGACATCTGACCTGAAATGATCTTAAAACACAAAATGCATGAAGCCAGCCTACTTGCCAATAGTTTGTAATAAGCAAATGTCTAGCAAAATTTGTCCTCATTAATTTTTTTTATATTTATTTTTTAGTAGTTGTATGACACAATACCTTTATTTTATTTATTTTTATGTGGTGCTAAGGATCCAACCCAGGGCCTGTCATGTGCTAGGCAAGAGCTCTACTGCTGAACCCACAACCCCAGCTCCTTGCTACATTTTTTTTTTTTTTTTTTTAGCTGAAGAACTGAATTGTCTTAGGGCACTGGCAAAGAGAAGGAGCCCTCTCAATTTAAAAATGTTACTGAAAGTTCCAGTGATACCCTTGTGTTTGGTTGGCAGGATGAAACAGGAGCCTATCTGATTGACAGAGACCCCACTTACTTTGGTCCTATCCTAAACTACCTCCGCCATGGGAAACTCATCATTACCAAGGAGTTGGCAGAAGAAGGTAAGAGCTCTGTTTACACTGAATTTTTCAAAATTCAGGTCAGTTAAGGCTGTTAGAGACTTGAGTTTTGTTTGAGGTTTTTGTGGGGCTCATATACAGGTGTACAGGTTTATGAAATGAGCAGGAAGCCTCCAGTTGCCTAGTCTTGTTTGAGAGAATCTTGTTGAAGGAAGCCCCATAGGGCTTTGTTCAGCCTTTCAGTCAGAAGGAAGGTAGGTAGCTCAGCTTTGCAGATAGCTTCAGGAATTTTTTTTTGAGCCTGCAGAATTGTCACAATCCTTTTTTACATTTACTTATGAGCTAGAAGTGAATGTCCATAGCCTGAAGCACCACATCTCTAACATTCAATTATTCATATTTTCAATTTTAGTTTGAACTTGCAGCTGTAAAAAAATAATAAAGGCTTGGCCTCATTTTTTTTTTTTTTTTCAAACTCTGGTCTCATGCTTCCCTGTAAATTTTTGAGGCTGACCTAATTCATTCTCCAGTTCATTGTTAGGTATGTTATTGGTTGCCTCATCTTTTTGATTTGTAGAGCATTTAGACTGTAAGTGGGTCTAGCTCTCTTTCTCAAAGGCTTGGCTTAGTCTCACTGGAGGCATTCAACTGAAGTTTGGGTTCCTTTTCTAAATCCAGGGCACTCTGATGTCGGAGCTTGAGCTCTGAGTAAGAAAGCTTGTAATGGCTATATTCATTAATGAGGTGATGGCAAAACAGTTCTTTATTTCAGGCAATAAAAAGAGGAGTTGCTCTCTTGTAGGGGGAGATTTGGAAACATTCTGGGGTTTTGGGGTTTTTTTTTTAAGTGTCCTTCTTTGAAAAACATTTCAAATTCATACAAAAATAATGAGGCTGGGCTTGGTGGCATAAGCCTGTAATCCCAGGAATTCCAGGTGAGGCAGAAGGATCCAAATTCAAGGCCAGTCTCAGCAATTTAGCAAGGCTCTAAGCTATTTGGCGAAACCATGTCATACAATTTAAAAAATAAAATAAAAAGCACCTCTGGGTTCAACCCCAGGTACCAAAAAAAACAAACAATAATAATAAGAAGAAGTAGAATAGTATATTGGGCTGGGGTTGTGGCTTAGTGGTAGATAGCTCATCTGGCATATGTGAAGCACTGGGTTCAATCCTTAGCACCACGTAAAAATAAATAAATAAAGGTATTGTGTCCATTTATAACTAAAAAAAAAAATTTAAAAAATAACATTAGGGGCTGGGGATGTGGCTCAAGCGGTAGCGCGTTCGCCTGGCATGCGTGCGGCCCGGGTTCAATCCTCAGCACCACATACAAACAAAGATGTTGTGTCCGCCGAGAACTAAAAATAAATATTAAAAAAAAAATTCTTTCTCTCTCTCTGTCCTCTCCTCTCTCACTCTCTCTTTAAAAACAAAATAAATAAATAAATAACATTAAATTCCATGTACCCGCCATCCAACTTCAACAATTACCAACTCCTAATTAACATTTTCTAATGCCTTTCATTAAAAAAAGAAAAAAAACACAACACTCTTTTGAAATAATTTTGAACTTACAAAAAGGGCAAGAATAGTACAAAAAACTCTCTTTACCCAGGTTCACCAATCCGTACCCCCTATACCCCCTGTGCTGGAGATTGAACCCAGGGGCACTCTACCACTGAGCTATATCCCCAGCCCTTTTTATTTATTTATATTATTTTTTTATAATTCTTTTTTTGAGAGAGAGAGAAAAAATATGAATCTTTTTTGTAGATGGACACAACACAATGCCTTTATTTTTTTATGTGGTGCTGAGAATCAAACCTGGGTCCCACCCATGCTAGGCAAGTGCTCTACCCCTGAGCCACAATCCCAGCCCAGCCCTTTTTATTTTTGATTTTAAGACAGGGTCTCATTAAGTTGCCCAGGCTGATCTGGAATTTGCAATCCCCCTGCCTTAGCCTCCTGGGTCTCTGAGTTTATAGGCTGCACCACCAATGTTGGCTACATTCACTGATTTTTAACATTTCCTATTATATTTATGCTAACATTCATTCTCCCCCTCTCTTCTTTTCATCTTCTCTTCTTTCTCCTCTCCTCCCATAATTCTAAATTTCTGATTGCAAACTTTACCCCTGAATATTTCTGTGCGTTTTTCCCAAGAACAAGGGATATTCTCACATAACCCTACTTTGAAACTTAGGAAATTTTTTTTTTTTTTTTAAATTTTTTAGTTATTGGCGGACACAACATCTTTGTTTGTATGTGGTGCTGGAGGATCGAACCCGGGCCGCACGCATGCCAGGCGAGCACGCTACCGCTTGAGCCACCTCCCCAGCCCCAACTTAGGAAATTTAATGTAGATAAATACTTCTATCTGCAGTTTATATTTCATTTTTACCAACTGTTCTAATAATGGCCACTATAGCAAATTTTTTTTCCTGGTACGGGATCACACATCTGATAGTTTTCCTTTCTAAGGCCTTTGATTTTGTTTCGCATGAGAGTTTTCCAATGATTGCCTTTTATATTATTCAAAATAATAAGCATCCCATTAAATTCAATACACATAGGGTTATACACACCTATCTGCCAGTCCTTTTAAGGGAAAACTGGGTAAAAATTGCAAGCTCAGGAGGTGGCCAATGTGACTAGTTCCAGGAATTAAGTGACATATGGAAGGTGTCCTGTAGCTAATGGGCAGGGGCCAAACATAAACAGTGGGGGTGAAACAGTGAGCAAAGCAGTCCCTGGTACTTGACTTGGTTGGGGAAAAGTTTGTGGGTATACCCTAAACATCAAAGAGACATTTCCAAAGCTGAAGGAGAGAGACTGAATTTATATATGACAAATGCAGTTTTTGGCAAGCCTCTAGTTGCTGTTTTCCTGGTGAGCTCAAATATTCCTGACCAGTCTGGTCCTTGTTCTAGGTGTGCTGGAGGAAGCAGAGTTTTACAACATTGCCTCTCTCGTGCGGCTGGTTAAGGAAAGGATACGAGACAACGAGAACAGAACTTCACAAGTAAGGTGTTTTGAACTGTTAAGGGGAAAGTGTCCCCAGTGGCTCTCTGTGTCTGAGTGTCTGGCTATGACTTGAAAAGGATGGCTTTTCCCTCAGAGCTAGAGTCTGTATAGAACACTGTCCGTCTGCTATGCAGATGGTGCCTACTTGGCCAGGGTTGTTCAGCACAAAAAGAATGAATAATAAAACAGAACAGCCATGTCCCTTGAGAAGAAAATGTCACTGCTCGCCATATGGCCAAGGCCATTTTAGGTCCAAAGCCTGCTCTCTCTGACCTAAGATCCATCACTTTCAACATAAAGCCTAAACAAGCTCTTGCTTCTACCTGCTGGCCTGTAAGCATGTCACATCTAGCCCCTGCAAGTCCCTTGAAATCAGCTATGACTCATGCTTCCAAGAAAATGATACTCAAGCTTCTCTCTCTCTTATTTTTTAATGTTTTATTGATAGACATTTATTTTATTTATTTATTCTTATGTGGTGCTGAGGATTGAACCCAGTGCCTCTCACATGCTAGGCAAGTGCTCTACCACTGAGCCACAATCCCAGCCCTCAAGCCTCTCTTTTTATTAAGATGTCTGGATCTTTGTATTTACTCAGTATATATGGTAACAAATGAAGCAGAATTTCCCACAAGTTTGAGGGAAGGGGAGATAATAGAGCATACTTAACTTGTTATTTCTCATGTCATTCATCATATGTCTGTATGGCCACTCAGGATCTATTAGGACTTTTGGATTCTGTGTGTAACAGAAGGTCCTTGACCCCAAGTCTAGCAAGAGAAACAGACCCTCCCTTTCTTTTGTTTAAGAAAGAACAACTGCAGAGTTGCAGAAACGGGGCTGAGTTTTTTCCCACCACAGCCATCTGCTTTGTAGCACGATTGCCTCTTATCCCACCAGCTACTGGTGGTGGATGTTTTATTTAATCTGTTGCAGCCTAGGACTTGTCTGCTGTTAAAAAAAGAAGGCAGTCGGTTTCTCTTTAATAGCACTCTGCTCTTTCTGCGTCAGATTTCATGTATCAACATTTTCTGGCTCTAAATGGAATATCTGGATGAAAGCTGGCAGGAGTGACCCAGAAATGAAATAAATCTCTCATCCCCTTTATCTCTGGCTATTTGCAAAGGTAGAAAGAAGACTCATCTGGTCGACTGCTAAAAGGTTCCTTGTTAATGTTCAAAGGTGAATTCGTAGTTGGTTTGCAGATGTTCATGTGAGACACAATCTGGTGTCACCAGTCCCTTTGCCATTGTACACGTCTGGTATCTTTTACTACCATAGATATTTAATAGCTTAGACATTTTTGGAAATTAGTTTTATCCTTATTTTTCCACATTCTAAAAAATACTTGATTTCTTAGTAGAAATGTTGATGGTACCATATGGACTACATATTGAATGTTTTCAAATCATGGTATCTGAACATTCTCTGTTCTTTACCATAAACTAATTCCTTGGGAGCATTATAAGATTTCTGTTTGATGACAGCAACTAAGTTAATTAGTCCCCTAGATCCTAAAGGCTTGTAGATTTATACCTAGTTGGAAGCTTTTTTGTTCTGGGACTGTCAAGACCTTTTTGATGTTAGTCTTTCCATCTCTTCTCTGAGAAATGGATTTGATGTTGTTCAAAGACGCCCTCTTTTGCCTTTGTGCACATGGTTCTCAGATGAAGTTGGCTGTGTATGGATTTCTAAACATTACCTCCTTTAATTTGTCTGCAGTCCCTCACCTCACACATGGCAGGCATTCAGCCAAGTCCAAGATGTGGGGATTCTAACCCACCTTTTCTCTTGTGGCTTCTTAGCTTGTTTAGCGGCTGCTACCATTCTAACTGCTTTTCTGTCATTAGTGTTATTTTTGTAGGTGATTAATCTTGGTACTTTTTGGAGCACCTGTGGTTTACTTTGGAGGAGGAAAAACAGAGGCACTATAATGCCATATTAAATATTTGGGACTTGGGTAATTGTGCTAGTATCACAGATCTTTGGTAATGCTCAACATTTTTGTAATACAAATCATCTGGCCAGTTGGGTGCAATGGCACACTCCTATAATTCCAGCAGCTTGAGAGGCTGAGATAGGAGGATCAAAAGTTTGAGGCCAGCTTCAGCAATTTAGTAAGATCCTATCTCAAAACCAAAAAAATATAAAGTACTGGGGAATGGCTGGGCATGGTGGTACATGCCTGTAATCTCTACGTCTCTGGAGGCTGAGACAGGAGAATCGCAAGTTCAAGGACAACCTGAGCAATTTAGCTTGATCTTAAAGTTTGTCTCAAAATATAAAAAGGGCTGGGAGTATAGCTCAGTGGTAGAGCAATTGCCTAGCATGTGTAAGGCCCTGGGTTCAATTCCCAGCATGCACACAAATGCATACACACATACCTGATTGTTTCCAGGTATATGGATAGAGCCAATTGAAATCCTTAGCAGATTTGTCATATACTTTATATGGGAGGAAATTTTTAATACCTTGGTCAATGATAGTTATGCAATACTCTTTGTAGTGTTTCATTTTTGTTTTTGTTATATAGTGCTGGGGTTGGAATCCAGGACCTCAGGCATGCTAAGCAGGAGCTCTACACTGAACCACACCCCTAACCCCCAAAGACTCTTACTATATAGGAGGTTCCAAGGGTTTGGGGAGCTCTGCCAGAAATTTAAGACAAAAAATCAAATATTTCTTTTTTTTCTTTTTTTTTTTCTTTTAAAGAGAGAGGTGAGAGAGAGAGAGACAGAGAGAATTTTTTTTTAATATTTATTTTTTAGTTCTCGGCGGACACAACATCTTTGTTGGTATGTGGTGCTGAGGATCAAACCCGGGCCGCACGCATGCCAGGCGAGCGCGCTACCGTTTGAGCCACATCCCCAGCCCAGCCACATCCCCAGCCCCAAATATTTATATTAATATATTACTCTTATAATCACTTACATCRGTCTGAATAAACTAAAATATGCTGTTATATTTGTAGCATACACATCAGTTTAAGCCACTTCAGGGGGAAAAAAAAAAGTATGACTTTCTCATGCAGAGTTATTGTGGAAATGGATGCAATCTTAAGTTTGTTAACATGGTTGTTCTCATAATTCACCCTCCCAAGTTAGAACTAGTTCACCCACTGATTGATGTTCTTGGTCCCTTTTTCCCTTCTTTCCTTGGGTGAGTTTTCATTGAGAACCCAATGCTGTGATCGTGGGATGAGGGTGGTCAAGAGCCTCTGCAGGCCTCACCAAGCAGCTGCCCCTTATGCTGCCGTGCTCAGTCTGCCTGCTTGTTGCAGGGCCCCGTGAAGCATGTGTACAGGGTCCTGCAGTGCCAAGAGGAAGAGCTCACACAGATGGTCTCCACCATGTCTGATGGCTGGAAATTTGAACAGGTATGTTTCTCAAAGAACAGCTATCCTGGTACCTCAACCCAGTGGGCCAAACTCCTCAATTGCTGTCCAACCAATTGCTATCCCTGGGAAATGGGTAAGGCCCGATGAGATCCATTGCAAAATGTGGGAAGAGAGAGTTACTTGGTGCCCATTACTTGCTTATAATGTGATGGGTTGGGGAGGGTGGAGAAGAGAGAGCCACATCTCCCAGCTTCATATCCAGAGTTTGAATTTGACAATTTCCAACAGAGCCAGCAAGCTATTCTAGGCTTCAAAGAGATTCCCTTTGGTTTTTTCTTCCCTCAGAGAGATTCCTTTCAAATGTGCTCTGTTGGGCTGGGGTTGTGGCTCAGCAGTAGAGTGCTTGCCTACCATGTGTGAGGCCCTGGGTTCGATCCTCAGCACCATGTTAAAATAAAGATATTGTTCAACTACAACTAAAAAATAAGTGTTTAAAAAATAAAGTGCTCTGTAATGGTCCCTAAAGAAGGTGGTTCAACAGCAAGYCTATCTTCTCCCATAAGTGCTTGGTGAGCAGGTGCCGTGAGGGGATCAGATACACTGACCAGTGTGGCTTAGTTGTGGCCCATGCTTCTCTCTGCTGTTTCTTTCAGCTTTGTGCTCAGGTCTGAGTATCAGAGCAAAACTACTGAGTCAAGTTTTACTGTTTTCTTCCATTAGATGGCAGAATTGTTTAATTCTTCGATCCTCTTCAAAACACAGGAAGGCTGAGGGTGAATAGAGGGAATATATTTTTTTGTAGAGTTGAAGAAGCCACCTGAGCTGTCACTGTAAGCTCACCTTGTAAAATAAAAGTTAGAATCTGTGTTAACTTACCCAGTTCTAGATCAAACTCAGAGCTGCCTCTGGCTTCAGACCCAGTGCTGGGACGCTCCTCACCCTTGTCTCCCCCTGCAGGACCAGTGGGCCTGGCTTTTGCTCAGGTGTGGATGAAATGCTGTGCATGGTTGACTATCCCTCCACCCTCTCTATATTTGCTCTGATACAGAGTCTTAAGCCAAGCTGATGTTTTTTTGTTTGAGGTACTGGGGATTGAACCCAGGGCCTGTGCATACAGGGCACTCTACCAACTGAGCTATATCCCCAGCCCATGTATTTTTTTTTAAATTATAAATGAGTGTTTTTTTGTGAAACCAATAGATAATTTATGTTGCTTCCTCATCTTGTTAATGCCCTGTGGAGGGACGATCTGTTCTTGCTTCTATGATCTAGAGAGGAAGCTGAACATGGAACTGAAGTGCCCCCACCCCAGACAGACAGCAAGGAGTTCCCATCTTGTGGCCGTGTGTACTTGTGAGGATGACCTCACCCTGGGCTCAGCTCCTCCCTCTGCATGTGTATTTCTGATTTAGGAATAGGCACTGAATTCATTTCTCCAAAGGGTTAAAGTATCAGCAATGTGCACCTTTGGGGAGCTGTTCAGTGATTCTGCACCTCCACCTCCTGTCTAGGACTACCACTTACAAATCGACGGTCTGTGTTTTGACTGAAGCAAGTGTTCGTTTTCATTCACAGAAACGTTCTTCTTCACCTCATGTTTGACAGTGATTGTRTTTGCCTTTAGGAGGATTTCAAGTGCTAGGGTGAGGGAACAGTGACAGAATTCAGACTTCTCTTCTGGGGAAGCCTACTTGATGATGTCCTGGTGCAGTTAACCCCCAGGTCGTCAGTAGTGTCAGAGGGTTTTTTGTCCTTGAGAAATAAAACCACAAAATCCAGTCGGGGAAGGGTATGACAGGTGCACTTGACTATCTTCACATCACTGCCTGTTTGGTCACCATCTTCTTTTGCCAGCTGATCAGCATTGGATCTTCCTATAACTATGGAAATGAGGACCAGGCAGAATTCCTCTGTGTTGTYTCCAGAGAACTAAATAATTCTACCAATGGCATCGTCATAGAGCCAAGTGAAAAGGCGAAGGTAAGAAGTGGCTTGTCCAGGTTGTGTGCAGGTTTGGCCTAGCCCTCTGCCACAGCCTGGCTGCTGCTCCTCCCTGCCTCCCTCTCCTGCAGCAGCTTTGCGCTTCCCTCTTTGGGCTCTTTTGCCTGCTGAATTTTAATCACAGTTTAGGGAGCCACGGCAGGGGTTTTCAGTTAGAAAATGTGAACCTGAAGAGGTTTCTTTGGCCTTTGACAAGTCAGTGAAAAAGCAACGTTTTATTGCACTGATTACTCTGTGGAGAGATCTCAGAACTCAGTATCAGTCCTTCTTCCCCCACCTCAAGGACAAAAGTCTCTTCATACCTTTTCCTCCCTTACATTCCTAGAAATCTGTTGTACACTGCTTCCTTCTTTGCTTCCACTGTGCTCCACAAACATGCATGCACACACCACACACACACACACACACACACACACACACACACACATGCACTTCTAAACTACAGGGTAAGAGGAGCTTGAACCATTTTCTTAGCTTGGGAAGACTGGTCCAGTGGCACAGAAACTCAGGACCAACTGTGTTCAGCAAGTGTCCCAGGGTACTCAAGGCTTAGTGTCTGCCTTACCACCATGTCTGCCCACAGGGTCCAGTGGATGCAGTCTGGGTCTTTCCTTTTTTCTTTTTTAAATCATTTTTATTGTAAATTATAACTTAATTTCACTGTAATCAGATCATATACACTGGTTTAAATTTTTTATTATTTATTTTTAGTGCTGGGGTTTGAACCCAGGGCCTGTGCGTACTAATAAGCACATGCTTGACTACTGAGCTACACACCCAGGCTTCTGTAGGTCTTTCCTTCCCTTTGTCATCTCCTCAGCACCTCAACCTTTTCCCCCATTTTCCACTTTCAGATTCTTCAGGAGAGAGGATCTCGAATGTAAGCTGAGAATCCAAAATTTCAGAATCCGGAAAGGCAAGAGGGCAATTCAGCAAAATAGCTCCATGCAGTTAAGTCTACACCTGTATGATAACTGAGCTACTGCAAAGCAAAGCTGAGCCTGCCCCAGTGAAGAAGTGTCCTGGTTAAAACCAAAGGAACCCCACCCACCCTTGGGACTCCAGACAGACGCACCTCTGGCTGCAGATCCCCTTTTCAGAACCTGCTTTTGTTCTTATAGCCAGTGTTGTGACAGATCTTTACAACAGCAGCATGCTGGGTCTCCAAATGGAGCCTTTGGGGATCTGGGGGAAGGAAGAAGGAGGAAGGCCTAGCTCCTTGGAAACAGCCTAGCCATCAGGGAAGCTGGAGCAGACAAAGGAGGACTGTCCCAAGCTGTGCCCTGGTCTCACCTGCGTGTGCCACTCTTTCCCCCTGCTGGGCACCCTCCAAGATTTGTAGCAGATGCAGAGGGTTCTAGCTTCAGTGTGTGAAATTGAGGTTCTGACACAGGATGGAATCACCAGAGGACCCACATTCTCGTGAGCAAAGCCTCTCAGGCAGGAGACGCTGGGGTGTCCTCTGCCTTGGGAGGGTGGCGGTTCCTGCTTTCCCACAAGTGGCTTTGTCTGATTAGTCTCCAGCARCTGGGCTCAGTGTGACCAGCCTCTCAGGAAGAGGTTTGAGGCAGGTGGCATCCTGCACCAAGTCAGGGGAGTGCCAGTGGTTGGTATGGCTGCTTCTGCAGCCTCCTCTTAGACCCATTGACCCCATCTTCCCTGGCTTTTTAATCTGGACCAAAGATAAAGGACTTTGAGGATCCTTTGATGGCTTGGGGTGGGGAAGACTATCTGTTTTGAAGTTGCCAAATGTGTCATGTCGTACCTAAAAGTGTTGCTTCTGTGATTTGTGTCTTGAAAATGCCCTGACCAAACGTGCGATATTTTGTCTCTCCTTGGTGTCGTCTAACCTTGGCAAACCTGCCCCACAGCACTGTAGTGACTCCACACCAACCCCAGCAGTGTGTGCACTTTGGTGGGCAGTCTGCAGACTTCCTGTGTCTCTGTCCCCACCACTGCTCCTTCCTGGGGACTGCCACATTGGTGAGAATAGAGTACTTTTCTGACCAGCATGCCACAGAGGCCTCTTTAGGCTGTGACCACAGAACTTGTAATTGCAACTTGTAATTCAAGTGTCCRTGAGTAGTCGGGGAGGCAGAGGGGCTGGGGAAGCCTTTATTTTCCCTAGACAGCTTTCAGCAGGCACATGGTTGAAGAGGAGGGTGTACCATTGAGGTTCTCTCTGCTCCACAGTTCAGCTCCTTGCCAGGGGCTCAAGGTTAGTGATTTCTGGAGGGACTAGACTCTAGTCCAGTGCCTATTGACCTTGTGGCCTGACCATGCCCAGATGGTTTAGCTTTTTTCAGGAGTCTCACTTTTTCCTTCTCTGTAGAATAGTGTAGAAATGTGCGTACAGGGCTCCTTCTGCACCTGCGTCAACACAGTGTAAATGTACATGTTGGCGCCTCAGAAGTCTGTCTGTGCTTGGTGTTCTCATAGCTGTAATGTGTTAGGTGAACTTCCTACAGGAGGAGTAGACACCCCTTCTTCCAAAGGGCCACAGGCACCCACCCTATCACACCTTTCAGGAAAACAAAAATATTTGGGAGTAGTCAAAGACAAGTAGAGATGTTCTGTTCAGCGTAGGACAGAAGACCCCAGAAGAGAWGCCTTCAGCCAAATGGAGTTAAGTKATGTCAGACCGCCTGGGAGGAGCAGCAGTGTTTGGGACTATGTTGCTTATACTTGGGGGTAGGTCCCAGTGCCTCTGGCCCCACCCCAGCTTTGTCAGCCAGAAGGCTGGAGGGCAGATTTTGAGCAGGTACCTCGTGAGTGCTCTGATATCTTCATTTAACCTTGTAGAGTACCACAGCTGCTTTTGAGTGTTAGGCCCAGTGCTCTGGGCCACAGACAAGTGGCATTTCTGCTCTCTTGGGGGCTGGTATTAAACTTTTCCTTCCTTACCGCAACCCGGTCAGTTTAACTGTTCCCGTGCTCCAGGAATCTGAAGATGGCTCATTTCTCATGGCTCCTGGGAAGTATTTTCCCAAACCCTTTATGAACCCTGCCACTGTTCTTGCTTGTAAGCCTTCTCCCTGGAAGTCTTGCTGGTCCCTGCGGAGAGCAGCCAGCCTGTAGGTTTGGTGGTGTCACCTGACCAGAGACCCACACTTTCTGCTGTGCCAAGACTGCCAGGTGGGGAGCATCTCTGCCTTTATCTCTGCCCTGGGTCTCCGCTGAGATGCTGCTGGCTGGGCCCAGGAGCGCCACCCTCCCCACGTGCTGGGCCGCAAGGCACCCAGCCTCCCGGGAAGTGACTTCATTTCTGCATAGTCACACTGTGCTTGGGTGTCAGCAAGACTGGGAAGCAGTAGAGAGGCTGAGAGGGAATAGGGCCCAAGGGACACCCACACCCTCCAGCATGGCCTTTAGTCTGGACGTCTGGACCTTTCAGACCATGCCTGTCACTTGTGGGTGCCCTTTGTTACTACTCACGTGTTTGAAATGCTGTGACTTTTTTTTTTTTTTGTCAATAAAGATATGAAACAAATGCCCTGCCTTGGCCCTTGGCCATGTTCTCAGTCATTGCCACTCCGGCTTCCCTGCCYGTTCCCCCAATTGTCAAGCTGGTCTCAGAAGATGGCTCACTGTCCCTGTCCTCATTTCTCCTGCTGTTAAAACTGCCTGAGGGGCTCTGGGCCTTCTTCCTCCTCCCTGTCCTTTCGCTGAATCTGAAAAGCCCAGGAGAGTGCTGAGGAACAGAAGGTGGGGACAGATGGGCTGCCTACCAGAGAGCTGGAAGGACATGGGAGGAGTATGCGAAGGTTTTTAAGGGAAATGTGCCCCTGGAAGAGAAGTGACCAGGGCCCATTTCTCCACAGGAAGAAGATGAGTCAGCATGGTGGGAAGTCTGTCACTGAGGTCATATGGGGGTCCTTTATTTACTTTGGGGGTTTAGGAATATAAAGCTTACTATTGAGTATTTTGGCACAGTTGGAGGAACCCTTTCCCACACAGAGCCTGCAAGTAGGGAGATGCTTGCAGACTAGGGATTGCAGGAGGCAGGTGCCTCCATTTGGGTCCATTTGGGAAATAGACCTGGCAGCTGAGGACCAGGAGCACTGAGGTGCTTCAGCYGTGGGGACTGCAGAGTGCAGTCTACTCCCAGGACAGAGCAGTGGAGAGAGCTGGAGCTGAGTGCAGACTGACAGGAGGGACCCGCGGARGAGATGCAGGCAGGTGCTGCTGGGACTGAGAACTGCAAGAAACCAAAGCCGTTGCCAAGCCAGCTGCTGCCATTGATCCCCATGGTTCTGCTGGTAACAGGAAGCAGACAGGAAAGAGCACAGCCCTTCTTTTTCCCCTCACCTTGACACCCCATTTGCAGAGCTGTCCAAAGCAAGCTGGAAAAGGAGAAATGTGAGACGGGCGAGGTGGCACACACCTGTAGCTCAGGAGAAGACAGGAGGATGAGAGTTGAAAGCTAGCCTCAGCAACAGTGGGCACTAAGCAATTCAGTGACACCCTACATCTAAATAAAATACAGAAAAGGGCTGGAAATGTGACTTGGAAGACACTCAAAACAAACCCAAGTCCTAGCATGTGGACTGGGGAATCTGAGATTCAACGAGATCAGTGGTTAAGAGCCCCTGGGCTCAATCCCCAATACAAAAAAAAAAAAAACAAAAATCTCAAGATATGCCTGCTGTACTCAATTGGGATAAATAGCCAAGAAGCACCTAATTGGAAGGTGCCACACACACCCAGCCAGATGCTCTAGACACCTAAGTCTCAAGTCTGAGTGCCCAAGACTGCAGAATACCAGAGGGGAGGGGATGCTGGGGACAGGGGTAGGAGGCAGGCAGCCAGGAAGCTGCTGTCGCAACCAGGAGAAAGCCACAGAACCTGGGCAGAGGTACAGTGGCGTGGCAATGCAGATCCTGATTAAGCCCCATCCCCAAACTTAGAAGGCAGACTATAGGATTTAAAGAGGAAGATCAGGGTGTCAGAGAAGCCTAGACTCATGGGCAGATGAGGACTGGAAATGAGGTGGAGCTAACTTGGTATGAGATAAGAAGTTCAAGACAATGGACAGAGGTGAAAGTCTCCACAAGGCGGGCTCTTAAAGGGTGGATGGTGATCACCATCACTGTGGACTTGGAGCTAGGTTCTGTAGGCGTTTCAACTAACATTCTCACTTAACCCCATGACCACCTGCCTGATAGAAGAAAGCTGTACTCAAGTTCTGAGTTCTGAGCTACACTGCTCTGAGTGCATTCATATAACCACGTGAGTTATTTGCATTCCCATGTTTTTGATGAGAAATCCTGGGCATAAGTGCTAGGTAGTTTGGCCCAGGTCCCATAGCTCTTGGGTTTGCATATTAGTCTGTGTTCTGTAACTATAACAAAATACCTAAGATTGGGTAGCTTATAGAGAAAAGAGGTTTATTTAGATTACACACAGTGTTGGAGGCTGCTAGTCCAGACAACATGGCAAAAATACTGGTTAAATCATCACATAATGGCAGATGCCTTCATGGCACATAAAAGGGAGAGAGCACATGGTGAGACAGGAAACCAGGAGGAGAGGCTAAGCTCACTCTTTTATAACATTTACTCTCTCTCTCTCTTTTTTTTTTTTTAGTTGTTGATGGACCTTTATTTTATTTATTTATATGTGGTGCCGAGAATCATACCCAGGGCCTCAACACATGCTAAGCAAGGGCTCTACCACTAAGCTACAACCCCAGCTCAAATTCAGGCTCCCTTGAGAAGAATCTCAATCCCTTTCCAAGGGCACGCCCCCAAACTTAATAACCTCCCAGGAGGCCCCACCTCTTAAAGGTCTCTGCAGATCTCACGCCTCCACACTGAGGAACAAACTTCCAACACATGAAACCTTGGGAGACACACTCAAACCATACCCAAATCCTACCGAGCACCTGGACTGGGGAAATGAGGTTCAAAGGCAAAGGGGACTGGCCCTGAGATAGATCCAGTAGTCTGGCCCCAGAGCACACACTCTTCAACTACAACACCAGTGTTCTAGGTTTAGTGGCTGAAACTCAGCGGATCAGAACAAAACTCATATTGTACCCCCCAACATTATGAAAATTCCCACACACATAGAAAAGCTGAAAAAATAATATAATGAATACCTGTACACCATCAACTTTGATTCAACCATTATAGACGTTTTTTCATATTTGCTTTATAATTGTATTACAAAAGTTTTGCTGAACCATTTGAGAGTACTTTTTAAACATTGCAACACTTCACCATTAAATACATCTGCAGGTATTTCCTGAAAATGAGGACAATCTTCCCCACGACTGTAATGACCAATGTCACATCTAAGAAAATCAATAATAATTCCACAATAATATATAAATATCAAGTTCACAYTCAAATTTCCCCCAATTATCCCAAAGTTTTGGTGTTCTTTTTTTCTTTTCCAGCCAAAATCCTMTCAAGATTCACACATGGCATTTCAATTTGATATCTCTGCTGCAGYTCTTTAAACAGTCCTACTTTTTGGCATTTTAAAAATATAACAGATTAGAAAATATTGCAGTGTATTGTGTGCCCATAGTACAATAATTTACTAAATCATTATTTGTTATTGAGCTGAGATATCAGTTCGACTACCTTCACAAAAGCTAAAGTAGCAATGATGTAAATATAAYAGAAGTCTGTTTTACTCATAATAATCCAATCATGGGACCCTCTCTCCTCTCTTATCTCTCTGCCACTCTCAAACATGGCATCCGCCCCGTGATCTAAGATGGCAGCTCCTTCCTTCCTCCTGGTCTTCATTGCATCAAGAAAGGGGGAAGGAAATAGGGAGGGCATCACATACAATTCTGCTCTGATCCCATTGATTAAAAGTCACACAGTCTTAAGTTTGGTAGCATATGTGCCTTCCTGAATTTTTGGTGTCTTATTATTAAAGGGATATGGAAAAATGGGCACTAGAGGGTCACCAGCCTACACAGTTTAAGTGAGCATGTTGTTGAACCCTGACACAAAGAAAAGACCACCAACTCCAATTTTAAATCAAATTAAAGCAAGCTTTAATGTGCACAAAGAGCTGATCAGCATCCCAACACGAGCTAGAGATCAGCACCCCCAGCTCTCCAGGAACAAGGTTTTATAGCACAAAAAGTTGCAAAGAGAACTTACAGCTAACAGGATTTTGACAAGCATAATACAAAGGCA